GCCACATGACCTTGGAGGCGTCTATGGACAATGCCGGCTCTTCGGCTTAGAAATGGAGATGAGCACCACCCCGCAGAGTTGGCATCACCTAGATTTAATGTAGAGGGGAAACTTTTACTTTACCTTTAAGCTCGCATACAAACCATAGAATTAATGTTGTTTGACACCACTTTAACTGCTATGGAATGGAAGCCAGGGATGTGGAGTTTTCACAGGGAGTTGTAGTTTCATAAGGATTTGAACTTCCCCTGTAAAGAGTGTTGGTGCTTATGAAACTACAGCTCCCATGATTCCATAGCATTGAGGCAAGGTGGTTAAAGTGGGGTAGTGCTGTACTTAATTCTACTTTACATATATCCATAGTTAAGAATTCCATCTTAAGCTACAAGTGTATTTATTTAAGGTGTCCTAGGGTACATCTATACTGTGGAATAGATGTAGTTTAGCACCATTTGAACTGCCATGGTTTTATTTATTTATTTAAAACTTATATCTCGATTTTCGCATCTCTGTAGAGGGACGCAGGCGGGTTCAATGGTCTGGGATCCTGATGTGTCTTTCTTTTACCAACAAAATTTAGTGAAACTACAGCTCTTGTGACTCACCCTTAGTCACACCAATACACCACACTGGATCAATTGATTGGACCAGACCAGGAATTGCCATTTTCATTATTGCATTATACTCACTAGTTAGACTCAGGGACCAACCGTGGCAATCTTTACAATGCTAAACCTTTTGGTGTCTATATATGGACCGTCAGCAACAAGCGCTAGTTCCCGCCTCCACACTGTATTGGAAAACATTCATTATACCCTGAGAGAAACCGAAACCAACAAGTCTAAATTATAAAGGTTTGTTGGAAAACATTCGGTGCTAACGTAGCTGGACTTGAGTGAAACAAAAGTGATACTGTTCTGCACAAAACAACCAATGGAAAACTACCTTAGATCCAATATCTAAAATCTCTTTTATGTTTGGTCCAGAAAAAAAAATAATGTTTCAAGTGTACTGTATGACTTATAGATCTGTTAGCAGAATATGATACTGTAAATCAGTGCTTCTCCTGAGAAAAATTTATAATATCACAAAGTATTACCACCCTCACCCGCTTCATAGGAAATCTGCTACAAAACAGGAGCTTTTTTGTTGAGTTCCAGGGTCAGAGAAGCAGATGGCGAAAACAGAAGAACAGCCTACTTGCTCCATCAATATTCAAAATTTACACAAATGACCAGCCATTGCTAGAAGGAACAGACAGCTTCATCTATGCTGATGATCATGTCATCACGGCCCAAGCAGGGTGCTTTGAAATAATTGAACAGAAGCTCTCTGAAGCTCTAGGTGCTCTTCCTGCCTATTACAGGGGAAACCGGCTGATTCCTAATCCATCTAAAACACAGGTATGTGCTTTTCACCTTAAGAACAGACAAACATCTCGAGCTCTGAGGGTGACCTGGGAAGGAATCCCACACTGGAGCATTGCAGCACACCCAAATACCTGGGAGTTACCCTGGACCGTGCTCTGACTTACAAGAAGCACTGCTTTATTATCAAACAAAAAATGAGCACTAGAAACAATATAATACAAAAGCTGATTGGCACAACCTGGGGATCACAACCAGACAGAGTGAAGACATCTGCCCTTGCATTTTTCTACTCTGCTGCTGAATATACATGCCCAGTGTGGAACACATCTTACCACCTTAAAACAGTCGATGTGGCTCTTAATGAGACATGCTGCATTATTACAGGATGGCTATGTCCTACACTGCTTGAGAAATAATACTCCTTAGCCAGTATTGTACCACCTGACATCCATCGGGAAATAGCAGCCAGCAATTAAAAGACAAAGGCATTGACATCTCTGGCCCGCCCTCTGTTCGGATATCAACCAGCACACTAATGCCTTAAATCAAGAAATAGCTTCCTCAGATCCACAGAGACACTTGCAAGCAAGCAAGAGTCCAAAAGTGGCAGGCTAAAACCCGGAACCTCAATCCATGGCTGATACCAGTTGAGAAACTCCTCCCTGGGCACACAGAAGGCTGGGCAACTTGGAAGGCACTGAACAGACTGCACTCTGGCACCACGAGATGCAGAGCCAACCTTAAGATATAGAGTCACAAAGTGGAGACCACGACATGTGAGTGTGGAGAAGAGCAAACCACAGACCACCTATTACAATGCAGTCTGAGCCCTGACACATGCACATTGGAGGACCTTCTTACAGCAACACCAGAGGCATTCCAAGTATCCAGCTTCTGGTCAAAGGAAATCTAGAATAATGCCAAGTTTTAAACTTTGTTTGTGTCTTTTTAAACACATTACAACTGTATCCTCAACCCGCTTCTGACACGATAAATAAATACTGTGTAACATAATGCCATTTGAGAAAGAAACTGCCTACATGAACTAAATACTTGGAACATAATGCAGATAATATTTCCTTTCAAGCAAACAATGGGTTGGCTGTACAGCAACACATTCATTTTTTGTTAGAAAATTCTTCAGCATTTATAAAGCCACGCGCTCAGTTAAGCATTGTTGGATCTTTTGAGCTGCAAATGGCTTGAATGCCAAAGTTGAGATAAACATTCACCAATATTCCAGAAAACATATCCAAGGGTAGAATCATAGATTCATAGAATCACTGAGTTGGAAGAGACCTCATGGGCCATCCAGTCCAACCCCCTGCCAAGACGCAGAGAAATCGAAGCACCCCTGACAGATGGCCATCCAGCCTCTGTTTAAAAGCCTTCAAAGAAGGAGCCTCCACCACAC